CCCGGCTGCGGGCGCACCGTGACGTCACTGCCGGAAGATGGCAGGAGTGAGGGGTTACTATATTTTACTATATAGTATTTACTAAATTTGGGCATAAATGGCTGCTAAATTGGATACCCTTGTATTGAATTAAATGTGAGTTGTGAAGTGAATGATATCCATCCTTTAGCATGGCATTTTGTTAAGTAAAAAGAACAACCTTTAAGGGGAATAAAAACCTGCACTAACAGAACAGAAGCTATACTATCTGCTACCAGCCTTCCTTCTCCTCCTATTCCTCATTTTCAGCTTCAAGATTTATTCCCTAAAGCTCTTGGCACTGGGTTAGATTTACAAGTCTGCAAGGACTTTGATGGAGCACTCAGTTATGCTTTTATTGAGGACAGCCTCACCCTGTCAAATGTTCTTCCCTTTAAGAAGAGGTGAAACTGAAGGCTTTCGTTTTCCCACTGTCTGCTCTCATATGTTTCTGCAGCATCTCTATTGTATAATAATTAAAGAAATATGTATTTTATGGTTTCCTTTTTTGGTAAAGAAACATAAAAAGGTAATACATTTAAAATACTCGGAAAGAAAATGACACATGCTCTGAATTTACTCAACAGTTTTGATCCAGAGCAAAGGTACTGTGTCAAAGAAAAAGGATGCGCCAAAATAAAAGCTCTGCCTGTTTGTCATTTATTTTTGAGTAGCACATAGTGCTGTGATCTTTGGAAATATTGCTTAGCTTCTTGGGTTCTGGTAAAACATTCACACTAGCTTTTCATAGACAAGCCTTCAATTCAATTCAGTTTATTTCTATAGTGCCAATTCATAACACATGTCATCTCAAGGCACTTTCCAGTTCACCGGATCGATTGATTCAGAGTTTTTTATCTAAGGAAAACCAGTTGATTGCATCGACTCAAAGGCAATCCCTCACACTAAGCATGCTTGTAGCGACAGTGGAGAGGAAAAACTCCCTTTTAACAGGAAGAAACCTCCAGCAAAACCAGGCTCATTGTGAGCGGCCATCTGCTGAGGCCGACTGGGGTTCAAGGAGACAGAAGCAGAGATACAAAA